GTAGCCACCGCCAGCTAACAGGAAGACCACACAGCAGGCTCAGACACACTCTGGCCTCCACTCAGCTGTTTCCTTCTGTTTGAAGAGCTTTGCGATTCCGTCCGGATACACTTACAAGCCAGTTATGTCATTGTTGCTATAGGCATCCTGAGAGCTCAGGACAGGAGATTTCTGTCAAACATGACATGCCTTTACTGGAAAATGTCTTATTTCAGGGCTTGTAATCGCAGGGAACTACTGGTTTTGTTATTAATATGGAGCGTTGCCTGTTACAGACTAAGAAGAGTTTCTTGATAGCCTAATGTGGCAGAATTGTGAAAGAATAGGGAGGGCCCTTCAGTGTGGTGGTGGATGCCTTGTTTGGAGTGTGTGTGGTATAAAAGCATGGATGGGGAGGCCTCTCAAGGTCAGTCTAATCAGACAGTGAGTGAGCGCAGGGCAGCCCGCATGGCTCCGTGGTGCAAAGCCACAGACACAAACACGTTCAGGGCCACCTCGTCTCTCCCCCCCCCCAACGTGACACGTCTCTGGAACGGAAAACAACAATCTGGCCTCGCACACAAACCCAGGGCGGAGCTTTCATCCACTCATTAAATCACTGTGTTTTGGAAAGAAAAGGAGCCGTTTCCCATCAGAAGAACTTTCCTCCTCACTATGAGAAGATATGAGTAAGTGGATTCCAAAACAGCCCAATTTAAAATATCTCTCTTTGTAAGGATTGAGTCTGTGTGGGCTTGTTTTTACCGGCATGTTGAATTTTAAAAAAGGTAAAACGTCTCTCAGAAAAAAGATAGGCGTAGAGAAACTCAATATGTTTATGTGAAAAACAGGCTTTAAATCATAAGGTTTTCCACATGCTCTTTAGAGAATAAACACTCCATCCCTCTGCCAGCCTCTTGAGAAGTGTGGAAAAGAGGTTTATTTTGCCAATCCCTTAAGAGCATAGGAGCTGTGCTTTAAGGAGGGAGGGGTGTCAACAAGCCCCAGCCACCCCTCATAGTGCTGAGGAGCAGAGGAGGGGAGTGGGCTGCAGCGATCTGCTGCTGCCCGAGTCCCGGAGATAAGCAAATTACATATGGAAAGCATGCAGACACACAGAGGCGTTAATCGTCACCCAGAGATCAAATCTAATCAATTAGAGGTGGCCAGCTGGCACTCGAGCGGAGGCATGACAGCGACAAATCCATCAATCAGGCTGCCCGTCTATTCATCCAGCGGCAGCTTCCATACAGAGTGTGTGCTTAAGAAGGGAGAGAGAAGAAGCTTGTTTGTGGAGGCCGAGTTTGGGTTAAGGAAGCGATCAAGAAACATGAAACATTCACCTAATTTCATCCAAGTTATTGACACAATGTCACAAGTTTGGTTTATTTGCCACAAAGAATATTGTCACGTACGGGTGTATATTCTCCAAATACATAACTCTCCAACATTTAATAGTTTCAGAGTAAAAATTGGATTTGATTTTTTATTTAAACATTTTATTTTGCGTCAAAGGTTATGCATGAGACATACATTTAAATGCACAGTCTGTAAATTCAGCCGGGGCTCTCAATCAAAACAATAACAAAAAGATAATGTCGAGGCTGGCGGGGAATCATGGGAGTTCTCTCTGCTCGCCCCCCCCCCCAAACAAACTCCGACTAGACCGGAGTCAAGAAGATGTTTAGCCACGTTGTATCCAAGTGCATGACGTTTTTTAATCACAGCAGCACATACAGCCAAAGTACGGAAGCTTTCAGTCGCAGCTCTCGCTTCCTTTTGCAGCAGTCTTTGTCGTAAAAAAAAGCGTTTCCTGATGATTGTGTTAACTCCTTAGGGAAAGTGTATAATGGAGACATAACTTTAAGTTTTAATTTTGAGTATGGAAGCAGGTGTGAAGTTCTCAGCCTCATTTCAATCTAAAATTAAGACAATTAAAAGTAATAACCAACTTTCCAAGGACTTATTTTTTTGTTGCCATTTTATTGAAACATGTATCGATATGGTTTGACTTCTTCCAGAATCAAGTTGAAGTTTAAAATTCTGGCATTGCAGTGGTACTGGTAGCCTAGTGGTTAGCGCGTGCTTGCCATGTACGGAGGCTATTGTCCTCCAAGCTGGCGGCCCGGGTTCAAATGCGGTCTGTGGCTCCTTTCCCGCATATCATTTCCCAATCATCTCTCGCCTATTTCTGACTCTTTCCACTGTCCTGTCTCTAAAAATAAGGGAAAGAAAAGCCCCCCCCAAAAAAAACTTTTCCACAAGCACTTGTATTTGTTGTTGTTTCTAAGAATGACTTCAGTTGACGTCACACTGACACTTGTCAGTGTTGAGTTGGGAGCATCGTCGTGTCAAGCAGAGATGGGGCTGCAGCTTTGCATCATGCCTGTCTGTTGTTTTGCTCCACTGTTCTTTCCTTCACTGTTTCTCCACATAGCCTTTCCGTTATGTTGGACTTTAGAACTTGAAGTGTAGGTCGATTCTTACAACTATAAAAATGCCCTATGCTGACTTTCTTGCTTGCCACTCTGTATTACAGAAAACAGGGGATTCTTTCTTTTTCTTAAAAACATCAAGTATCAACTGACAAAATGTAATTTTCCTAACCCAAATATCTGCAAAATATCATAAATCTAGTGTAGGTCAGATTCTAAAAAGTCAGTAATTATTCTCAGAAATCAATTTATAAAATACAGCACGTCACAAAATGATCCTCTTGTTTTCTATCTCTCATTCAACCCCAGTCTGTAGCCGAGCATTGACTTGAAGCAGTGGAAGTACAGGAGTTGAAAGAAATGTTTTTTGCAGGGTCATTCATTTGCCTGGCAGCAGGCCGAACAGGACGTACTAAAACAACACCACGAATGGCACAAAGAGCGAGGGAGTGCGGTTCCACCTGCCGCAGCGACCACAGACTTCACCGGGAGGTTTCCCTGAATCCTGTCAGCTGTCTGTTTCTTATCCGCCCCTCCAGCATACTGTAGCCTGACACAAAACAGTGCGAAGAGCAGCCCATGCAAATGTAAATGGCCGAGAGTGAAATGTGTGTTTACTTTGGCCCGTGTGGTTTGACAAGCGTGAAATTAATTCAAAAAGGTTGGTGATGGCAGGCGGTAACACACAAAAACAACCCTTTTTCTCGCCTTGATGGGGGCTTTTGAGGTATGTCAAATCAACCTACAAACCATTTAGCCGTCTGTCTTGTGGGGCTCTGAAGTTGTAAACCGTGTTAGCATGCTTCCATTCTCACTTTCCCTTCCTTCACATGGCGCGCCACACATGGCATTCACACTCCCTCACAGAGCGGTCCCCACGGCGGGGCGACAGGGGGCAACAGACTGATCCTCGGCAGATATGACCTACTTTCTATTCAAGCCCGTCTCTCTTTGTTCGCTCCACGGTGGTGGAGGAGGCTGCTGCAGCCTGTGGAACAAAGAACCCAAGCAGCACTTGGAGCCTTCAAACAAGCTGACCCTGCCTAGATTCAGCCACCCCCAAAAAAATGGCTCAGAAGAGCAGCGCAGCTCGGACTCCCACTGTCTGGAAATCTCCTCCTTTTCCTGCTTTGATCTGCCTCCGCTGCAGACGAGGGAGGATGCGTCCCAGTTCCTGGTGCCTTCCACTCACTCTCCTGTTCTCCTGGCACACAGGGATGAGACAGATACGATGGAGGTGGGAGAAGGCCGGAGTTATCAATGCTGGGGCTGCAGAGTCAGAGCGACGCAACATCAATACTACTATGCTTTGTTTTAAAGCCCACAACTGTTGCTGAGGTGATGTATGGCATCCACACTAATAAGCATTTTAGAGACCCTAAAACAGGGAGAGGTAAAGGCTCGTGTTTCCTTGTTTTAGGTTTAGTCAGAACCCTAATGCATGAATATTTGATGTGGGATGACCACACAAGGAAATCAGCTTTGACTTGCAGCTGTTTACTCAAAATGATGAACTGACATGGTTTAATGTCTTTGTAGTCTATGCTTGCTGCTTTTGCAGAGTTCAATTCTGCATTTTATAAAGCTTCTACTGCCTACAAGGACGGGAGGGGAGCTATTACTCAAACCATTTCTGTGTCCAGCAGCGCTATCAGCCCTTTGACTGGGTCTGCAAAGTATTTTTTTTCAATAAAAATAGTAGTGTGGATACAACTAGGGAACTTACTTGTGTTTTTGTTGGAAGGCAATCACTTTAGACAGACTCCTTTGAGATCATCTGCATCTAGGCAATCGCTTTTTGCTGTAATACCTAAACAAAAGTACTACAAGGACATCCGCAAGTTTTCGAGCAAAAGTTGCAGCAGCACAAGAAAAGCACACAACCAATCAGTAGTGTTTGGCATTTGCTCGTATTAAATGTGGCTAATGGCTCTCAATTACAGAACCCTCTATTAAACAGTGAGCTGTGAACGTACCATTTAGTCTTTAATGACCCATTTAAAGCAGCCGCCACCCAAAAAACACACATCTGTACAATCCAGACAAATTACCCTCCTTGGGCAACAGCAGAAGATTTAATAAGCACCTGCAACTGTTGCTGCTTTCTTCGAATCTGGCAAATGAGGCACAAAATTGTTTGAGGTCGAGCGTTGTAGGGGCTGATGGATGAATGTGGCTCTGCAAGAGACGGGGAATGACGAACATGCAATCTCTGAACAGCCAATATCTCAGGATGTGATGGCGACGAGAGGCGGTTATCTGCAGCCAGCCCGGGAGAACAAAATGAGCACAGGGTGGGAAATAAACCGAAGACAGTGGAAGAAAGAGAATGAAAACTGAAGGCATAATTGAGATTATGAAAAAGGACAGAACCAAGGCTTCTCATGGGAGTCAGTACTTTAAATTTCCTGCTTGCATGGCAGCAAAGACAGACCAAACGGAGCTATGGAGCCTATACTGACTTTGGTATTGTGACTGCGTTTTGTACATTTAAAACTACTGCAAAACTCACAAACAAAAACGTCATCAACACGTCAAAGATTCAAAACCTATGCCATTTCTCAAAAGAGTACAGTAGCATCTTACCTGCATTTGTTCTGTTGAGCTGCTGCTCAGCTCGTCCCCAGACTCAGAGTCGTTATGGAGCTTGTTAAGCCCCTCTCCCGGAGGCTCGCTCGGCGGGGACGTCTTATCACTGTCTGGACTTCTGTTGTGGTTGTCCCCCACTTTGAGCGGAGGGGAGTCCGCCCTTGTCCTTGGCAATGTGGAATTGTTAGCGTGGTGATGGTTATTGTTGTTGTGAAGAAGTACCAGTTCCGCCACCACCTTGCAGTGAAGGGGACTCCCCAGGTTCTGGTTAGAATCCTTAGACAGAGCTGGCGGAGTGACCCGATCAGAGGATGGAGACGGGGTGGAGGAAGGCGATGGCCGCCCGAAGCTGGACATCTCCGGCTGGGGTCTGTTGAGGTTCTCATTAGATGCTCGACAGATATCCAATACAGTAGGCTTTGCCCTCAAAGTGGGCTTCTGGGGGGGCATGAGGGCCCGACGCACCTCCCTGACATACTGCGCCGGCACGTAAAAAGCCTTTGTGCCCTCGTCCTTCCTCACCTGCCACCAATCCTCGTTGGTCTTCTTCACCAGCATGTACCACTCTCCCTGGCGGATGCTTACCATCTTGTCTTTGGCTTTGTACTCGTAGTCGTACTCCACCTCGATGTAGACCTGGCCCGGAGCAACGGGCAGCCCCTCTCTGTCAGCCATGGCTGCCGGAACAAGCGCTTGATCTCTGACCTCAGCTGCTCAGCAACCAGGGCCTGGAGGGCTCCTCATGTCTGACTGCAGGAACTGCTGACCTGCAGGAGAAAAGACACAGAAAGAGTTCTTCAGTTAAATGTCACAAGGTACATTTTAACACACAGGACCCAAGGCCAGTTCAAACTGCGACTTATCAATACAATCTTCATCGCTGGTTAGGAGATTGTGACTGTGAAATTAACATCAATAGCAATGATAAACTTAACACAGATAAATCTAACGGCCAATCATAGAGCAGAAATGATGACGACAATCACTTTGCTGTTTTTGCTTGCTTTTGAGATACACACTGGAGTACACGCCCACTTTACACTGCAGAGCCTTGTTTAAGCTGCCAGTGAGGAAAGTGAGTATCATCTGTGAATAAGAAAAAGTAAAATGAGAGTTACTGGAGCATTAAAACAACAGTAAGGGTGAACTAAGAATATAACCTCCAAGAATTTTAAATTGTTCATGAAGAAAAATGTTGAATACACGTCCGTTCTTTTGGAGAATAGTGATAGGTCCTGCTAGCAGCCCTCCTACAGTTTTGAGGGACTTTTTGAACGTGAAATTGCTGTATTGAGGTTTTTTTTTTACTCTTTGGTAAAAACTTTTGAATGAAGGAAGACGCAGAGCTCTTAGAAACAAGCAGATATCATGTAAGCAGCAGCATGGCTTGTAGCCTCTTTATATATTATGTACTGTGTTAAAGGGCATTGAAGAGACACTTATTTTACCCCTACAACTGTGTTTGTCTTTTTTATCATTTTTTTTTTTGCAAGACCCTCTGCAGCATTTAAAATGATACTTCATGTCATGAATATTGTAATTCATCAAACAGCCAGAAAACCACCCAAACATGCTCCCATTTCACTGTAAAAACCTCACAGCTTGTCACAACCTGCCTTATTACTCACCTGCTCACCATAACCACAAAGTGCTACCGCTAAGCTGCACACTCACACTATGACGGCGTGTTCTCCCAGAATGGACATACTCCGTCGGTGAGTGGAGTAAATAACACCACAGGCCATCTCCTCTCTCTGATCATCCAAAACCACAACAGACAGTCTACACTGATTGCTCTGCTAACCTACACCACGGCTCAGGATATCCAGCCTGGTAACCCGACCGGCCTCTGCAGAGCTCAGGGTGATGACAACATGACCCTCACACACTCATCCTGCAGGCGATCCAGTGACTACAACAACTCCCCGGAGCTCATGTTCCCTCAGAGGCTGCAGCCAAAAATAAAGTGCGATGTTTTAAATAGTCCCGCTCTGCACACATCACACATGAATACAGTTACAAGACACAGTCAGAAAAGGGCTAGCATGTTGTTCTTAAGACTGTTTTTTTTTTCACTACGTCAATGCTGCTACATAATGCTGCCAGTTCGAGGAAGTTTCTCATGACAGTAGTCCGGGATAGGATTTGTGGAGTATAACTCACCATACAATACGATATGATACACACAATATGTGGCCTGTGATAACTTTGATATCAAGATACAGCAATTAAAGAACATAAAATGCCCCTAAAAAGGTTAAGTGCAGGATTCATTAATTCACTAATAAGATGTCACTTTCAACTCTTGTGCTTCATCTCTTTTCTCATTTTCACTGCTGTACAACATCATCCTGTGGCACACATGGTTAGCTCATCTCACATTTGTCATGATAGCCAACGCCATTTTCAACATTTTATCAGACATAATTCTCGATTAGAAGTACCTATAATACGAGTGGTGAGCGACAGCGGTGAGAAATCATAACAACGGTTTATTTATTCGCGTTCTTCCTCTTTTTGGAATGACGATCACAGACTATCGGCGCCTGCTGGCATGGAGAGTTATAGCCTCTCATGCATGTGAAGAACGTACATGGTGGTTGGCCATCGGCTGTAGTCTTTACGGTGCGTTCAAGTGCAACTTTTTGGCCAAGACAAAAGGCGACGTGAGGCGATACCACAGGCGGCCTTGGTCGCCACGCTGCTTGGTCTGTCAGGGCCTTTACAGATGGCTGAGGTCATTCAGGCTTCTTCCATTACAGTCTATGTTAAAGACACAATTTTTCAGAAATGAAACTTTTAAATATAGTAATTTTCATGGAAGCGTAAGCTGTCTATCATTCAATTCTACGACTTCATTCCATTTAAAAAGGTTGAAACACCAAATAAATCAGAGAGATGTTTCACAACAACGTATTCTGATTCTCTTTAGCCGACAAAGGACATCATGAGGGGCTGCTAGTTGAGCTGCCGTCACCGTCTCTAATTTTAGATTTGGATTATTTCTTCAAAAGCTTTATTTAACTCGAAAGACACTGAGGTTCCCCTCATATAGCCTACAGTAACATTGATTATCTGAATCAGAAATACTTTATTAATCCCAGGGGGAAATTCGGATTATGTTGGAGTTCACAAGGCATTTCGCAGTATAGCTTAAACAATCTGCGGAGGTCTCTTTCTTTTTAACACGAACAGATCCAGTGATTTAAAATAATACAGTTAGCATGCAGTTAACACTGAATGTAGCATCTACACACACAAATATCAGCGTTTCTCTGGCTCTTTAGAGGGGCTGCAAACAGAGCTGCTGCTAACCTTAGCTCAGCCTGTTTTTCTCTCTTCACATTCAGATTTTTTGATGGCAATTAGTAACCCTACATTTGAATTATGTAGTCAAAATCGACCAGAATCAAAGGAGTGATGTTGACACCAAACAGAAAGAGTCTGTTCATGTCCAGCTTTTCAAGATAATAACTCTGCTGTGCCTGGCTGTTGTTGCTTTTATTTAGGCTGTTAGTTCAAACTATACCACCTTAAATAATGCCCAAAGTGTCTCATCAAATTTGACATCATGATCCACTGGAAAGATGTGTTTATGTTTACTCACTAAGCCTGATTGCACATTAATGCAGTTACAACACACAGTCTGAAATCTTCTTTAAAAAAAAAACCTCACGGGGATGTTCCAGATATATCAAACACAGTCAGAGTGCGAGCCAGAGGACAGCTGGGACCTCTCCACTCCTGCACGGTTTGTTTTGGGATGAGGCATGTCATTGATCCGTCCGTCAGAGAGTCTCCCTGCATCGGTCAACCTAAATAAGTAACAGGAGCGGTCCCACAGCAGAGGAGATGCTACAGAGCCGCCGCTCCCCTCATATCCAATTCTCCTTCTTCCTCCCTAAAATAGCAATCGCCTCGCTCTGACATCCTGGTAGCGCCGTCGCCAGAAGCAGGTGCTTTTAGTGAGGCATGAGAACACGAGGCTAAAAGGGGCCCGTCCTTATGTAAAGGAATATGTACACAGACTGTGACGCTCAGACCGACAGCTACGCACCCAGAATAGATTTACGGTGGTGAGAGCTGTCTGTGTCGGAGAGGAGGCCCATGAGAGATAGGGCGCATGATCATAATGAGCAGAAATAGTTTCTGTTTTCTCTGTTTCAAAACGATGATGCACACACACACACACACGATTACATCACACCAGGGCTTTTAGTGTGTTTGTGTCTGACAGCAGCAGCCTAGTCCGTGCCTGTCCCAGTACAAGCTCCAGCCATGATGTCATCATGTCACACACTCATATCCAAGCCGTTTATGAATGACTGTCTCTCGAGGAACACACACTTTCTTTGTACTTTTCTGTTGTGGATTTATCACAATCCTCATGTAACCCGACCTCTAACGCCACTCACACACTATCTACAGTTCGCACCATCAGCTGAGGTGCCAGAGATGTAGTCGGGCGTCTGTCAGGGCATCGAGTCCCGCACATGATAAGGGCACTATCAGGGATGTTGCATGACAGTGATCGTCCCGACCTTCTCACACTGACTTTATAGTGTGTGTGTGTGTGTGTGTGTGTTTCCTTAGTACATAAAACATGTAATACGTTAAACGATAAGACTAGAAGATGAGAATGTCATGGTGTGTTTGTCCAAAGATACCTTCATATGTGTCTTATTCATGGAGACATTAATCCTGAACATTAAAGCTCAAAACAATATTTCAAACCTGCACTGATTTCAACAAAATGTTAGGCAAAGTCATTAAGCTTATCTTAATAGTTTGTGTTTGAATTAATTTGAACCTTTTGGTGGATCTAGCACCTATGTTGTACTGATACGACCATGCAAATAGAATGAAGAAATATATGGCAATTTAAGCATATTTACAATATAACACATCGTCAGCCAATACGAGAGCGGACTAAACATCTGCCCAGCTGTGATGCTCTGCTATATACTTTGCAGACAGTGTTAAGAGTAATAAATCTAGAGCCCTTTTCACACATGCACTCCACAGATTTCCTTGCATTTTCACACATGTACCTCGCAGCAGGAGATTTTCCCTGTCGAAAAGACGCCACAAAAAACACAGTATCGTGTTTACAACATATCCCAGATGGCAGTCGACATAACAGAGTCTGACGCTACTTAGACAGTTTTAATCTTTCTACTTGTAACGGGACGTTTTCACATTATAAACAAAGAGTGGAAAAGAAAATCCAGACAAGCAGAAGAGTATAAAGCAGCTTCATTCGTTTTTAACCAACCTTCCACTCTGTCTACAGACTTATAATGTGAAGATCTTGCAGTCCACTTCATAAGTAAAATAGATTTCATTAGATCAAATCTGTTCCACTATCAGCCTGCAAATTTTAACACTCAAGAATCCTTGTTTTTAAATGAGGAAACACTGGAGACATTTGTCTTGGTTGATGCTGAAACGCTTGGAAAGGTTATTTCTCAACTTAGACCCAGCAACCTGCCTTTTAGATCCCATCCCAACATCATTTTTTAAAAACTTTTATGGCTTTTTTAATTCCGAATTTCTTAACATTTTTAACTATTCTCTTCAGATGGGTGTTTTCCCCACTGCTTTTAAAACTGCCATCGTCAAACCTCTTCTGAAGAGAAATAATTGAGATGTAACTGTACTAGATAACTACAGACCAGTATCTAACCTGCCATTGTTAAGTACATTTTTTAGAAAAACTTGTTTTTAATCAGTTAAATGATTTTATGAACTCCAGAAGCACATGTGAAATGTTTCAATCTGGGTTTAGAAAGAATCACAGCACAGAGACAGCGCTAGTTAAAATTGTGAATGACCTCAGGTCTAACATTGATAAAAAAAAAATGCCCTCTGTTTTAGTTCTACTTGACCTGAGTGCAGCCTTTGATACGGTAGATTACACAATTCTTTTTAAACAGACTCCGTAACGTCGTTGGCATCTTTGGTACTGTTTTTAACTGGTTTGAATAATATCTCACTGAAAGAAAATGTTTACGTAAGTATGGGTGAATGCTCATCTGGAGTTTATAAAATGAAATGTGGTGTTCCCCAGGGTTCATTTTTAGGTCCTACACTTTTTAACCTTTATATATTACCACTAGGAAATGTCATCAGGAGGCACGGCATCAATTTTCATAGTTATGCTGATGACACACAGCTCTAGATTGCCGTGTCTCCTGATGACACAGGGCCAATTGATGCCCTTTTTAAATGTATTTTAGATAGTAAGTTATGGATAGCAGACAATGTTTTACAGCTCAACCAGGACAAAACTCAGGTTTTAGTTATTGGTACAGGAGTCCAGAGAGAGAAACTGAATGACAAACTCAAAGAACTGTCTTTTAATCCCTGTGAGCAGGTCAAAAACCTATGGGTCATATATGACAAAGACCTCAGCTTCCTACCTCATATCAGGGATGTTACAAAAAAGGCATTTTATCACTGCAAGAACATTGCCAGAGTCTGACAGTTTCTCTCTCAAGCCAACGCAGAGACACTTATTCATGCTTTTATCACCTGTAGAGCTGATTACTGTAATGCTCTTCTTTCTGGTCATCCCATATCAGTCAGGCCTGTATGATAAAAGTCAAACTTTGTCATTATCTGGCAGGGCAGAAAAAAACATTAAAATAAGCCTAAATTAAAGCATTAAATGTGGAGTAACAGGAGGCATATCAAACCTCTGACTAACCTCAAAGCCCAGCTGGTTTGCAGGGCCCCACAACTAAGTCACCACCACAAAACTTACTGTTCACCATAAATTCAAACTGACTTTTCGGTCACAATACAGCAGAAATTTACAACTCCACTCCCCGTCTCTCTTCAAACTGCTCCTGTGTCTTGGAGCGTTTTGGCCGAGGACCAGACTGAGTAAATTTCACTGGAACTGAATCCCAGTCACTGCATGGTGTCAGTGCAAAGTGAAGTCTCAGGGGGAGTGCGCTGGCCAACTTGTTGCTCTGTGCCCAAACGATGCTGCTGATTTTTTTAGAAACATGTTGGCACAGCAGCAGTGATTTAACAACTGGAGTCTGTGTAAAAGAACCAAAGCACCACTGTTCTTTGGCTGTTTAGAGGTTTGATCTTGGGTTTTCAAAGTGAGGCTATTGTGTGCAAAATTGTGTGTTTTTTCTATTGTATGTGCTGCTTTAATTGATAAAACAACCGACTCTAACCAATTAACTTCACCAGATTGGTCATCACACTGATCATGTGGATTTTGTTGCTTCTTTCCTGATTTGACAGCACAGGAAATTTGACATTATGGTATCTGTAAACAGATATCTAAATCTACACAAAGCCTTGTTCCCTGAGAAAAACTTTAATAATTTGATACTCTAAGTTAAACTTGGATCATTTCAAATTTTTCTGGTGGAAAATTGTAATATATCTGAACCCCTTGCAGGCAAAGCTCTTGGGTGCGCTGCTCCTGTTGTGTAACAGGAATATGAAGATATCGAGAGTCTTTTAAACATGCACTTTTATAAAAACATGACTAAAAAAAAAACAGGGTTGCAGCTGCCTGAAAATCAAGGTACGCGCCAATCGGAGAGATCACGACCTTGTGCTCCTGTCTGCATACATCTGCAGACCAGCCACATAGCAGCAAAACACCCTGAGACTGGAACTGCCTTTGTCCCTGTGCTTCATTCAAAACAGATGTGGCCAAGCAGCATCCACTCCAACATGTGCTGCTGCTGCTTTATTTCACTGTATCTCTGCGAGTTATATGCTGCATATGTGGATGTGCAGAGCATGAAAACAGTGTTCTTTTGTAATTATGCAGCCAATACAAGCAGCATGGGACTATAAACTGTGGGCACATGAGCGGCCAAAGCATGCCTGGGGCGGGTGGTGGTGATGAGGGGGAGGACATAGGTGGGGGGCAGGGTCCCTTCCAGTCCTCCACAGACTGCAGAAAAACAACACAAAGGAGTTTAATCCATGTGCATCCATGACAAAGGACTCTGAGTCGGTATCATCAAGAATTCCGAGGACTGAGGGAAGGGGCAGGGACGTGACTGCCGGAGAAAGCCCCCCTTTGACGGGGACAAATAGCCAAACACACCGCGAGGAAATAAGCCCCACAAATCTGTAGGTGCGTGCCTCACAAGCTGACGCTATCACATGGACTGTTAAATGACCAACATGTTAGCCTATCTTAAAACAAAAACAAGGCCCGTGTTTATGTTAAATTACCAGTTGGAGACATGTTTTGTGACATTTTGCAGCTTCTCCGTGCCTGGACAAAAGCACTGCAGGTTCACAAACCCTCCGCTCTGCAACAGCGTGCATAGCAACAAAGTAACTCCGACAGAAGCCAATCGCCTTGCGCTGACCAGGAGAAGAGAAAGCCTCGCACAAACGTAAAAGATACTCACCTTGAAAAGCTCCAGCGCTGCCTCTCTGTGCTCCGTTTGAAACGTGAAGGTAGTTAGCACGAACTTTTCCCACCTATTTTACTGTCTGCAGCTCCAACTAAGTCCGCAGCAGACCTCCAGTCAGTCGGTCTGTTCGCAATCCCCCGCCTCTCTGTGGGCTGTCACGCTACTTTCTGGAACCTACGGCACATCCGGTCTAAAATTTCGAAGTAAAACTTTATATTAAAAAAAAGCTGCATGGTGCATCTAGATGTATTTTCTTCAAGTGTCCTTTTTATTTTTACATTAGGCTGTTTTATTTTTTTAACTTCATCATTTCGAATCGATATTTCATTTAAATTTGTTTTAATTTACATATATTTCTAATTTATTGCTTGGTCTTTTATTTCTCATCATTATTTTTCTCATCAATTTATTTAATTGTTATTTTATTGAATTCTTCTGGTCTCTAAATAGTTTTTAACAATCTGCCTTTTGTCAATCACAAAACACTTTGAGCTGCAATTGAATTTCTCTGAAAGGCTGTATAAAAATAAACTTGGCTTGCTTGATATATACACTATATGTTTATAACTATATATAACTTCGTCTGTGTGAAGTGGGCTGAAGTACTTGCTCCAAATCATTTCATGTTTAATGTTTATTTTATGTATCAAAATAATGACCACTGAGTGAATGTTATGTTTGTTGTTTGTTTGTTTTTATTTTGAAGTCTTTTCTTAATACGATGCTTTGCAAGCTCACTTAAAATGATCAAATTAAAAACAAAAAAATATTCGTGTCCTAATATAAATACACACATGTAAACCTAAATTGTCATGCATTGTTATTTAAGAAGAGTCTACTTCTCTCGATCTTTATATATTTTAATAATATCACAGTAGTGGGGATGTACGCAGGCTATTTATATATATATATATATATATATATATATGATGATGATTAAAAGCACTTCTAACCATTTTGAGTCACCAAGTATGATAACTGATAGTATAATAAATTATTGCCTTTATTCCTGATTGAATGTTTGTGTGTTCAATGCGTCTGTACTGTTTATCTTTTTTAATTAATAGTATTATTTTATTTTGATGGTGAGTGTTATTTCAAATCCGGTTCCAGTCAGTGTGTGTCCACGTAGCTTGACGCCGTTTTGGTCTTTAACCCAGCAGACGCTTGTCTGTCTCTCCCACCCCACCCGTCTGTCAGCGCTGATAGACGGCGTCCAGAGCCCCGAGGCCGGTCCGCCCCTTCCAGGTTCAACACCTCACTGTCCGGTGCTTCCCAATATGTGGTCCGCGGACAGTCGGGGGTCTTACATGGAGTTTCTGGAAATCCCCTGTTAAATCTTGAATAGTTTTATTTTTGATATCTCCTCAATCAAAATGATAATTGCACATACAGCCTACTGATTCTAATCAAAACTATACAACTTCTGTTCTCTCAAAGCCATATACGACCATCAGAAAAGGTATGTAAAGCAAAGAATGATCCCTCCCAACTCAGCAGAGCTGTATCTGGCAATCACAGCAGGGAGTTTAACCATGCAGGCAGGTTCATGAATGATTTAGTGCTCAGATTATCCAGGAACATGGCAACTCCTCAATGGATAACACTCAGACTATAAGGGGACTGAAATACGCCTCAGGCAATGAAATGCATTGTTTGCATTATTTTAGAATAATGTATGAACGTCTCAACATTAATCTAACCGTACCACTTCTCATTGTGAATTTGCATTTGTGCTAAAGCGCTCCCTGTTGGTGTGAGAAGGGAAGTGACGAAAGACACATGATTTCAGCAGCTTATTGTTTGGTAACAATGTAATGCCTGTCATGAGGATATTATGTGATGTGGAAATACTAATAAAATAAATTAAATCTCATATACTTGATTGTAATAGAATTACATTGGAATTATATTTCTTTTGTTTAAAATAGTTTTTAATTGATAGTTCTTTGTTTTTTTTTATTTATCTCCAGACCCTTTAACCCATTGTACTCACTCTTGAGTGTTATTATGACAAACATCCTCTGGATCACTACCTCTGTACAGTTTACATTCTTTCAGTGTTAACATTGTAAACTCTTGCAAGTATAGCTTAATTATTTTTGCAAAAACCATGCATGCATTGGACAACACTTTTATGACACTTTCAAACCACAAATATGAAAAATGACTCAAACAACATTTCTATTCACACCCATATTGCTTATTTTAGTTTATTGGCGTATCTCGACTGGACAGCTGCTGTCAACATCCAGTTTTTAAATTCCAGTCTGTTAGTTATTATACAACCAAACACTGAGATGAATTCCTTTATAAAAACCCGTACTTGGTGATTCACCTCCTTCTGTAGCAACCGTAAAATCTCAATGCCTACTTTAGAAACCTGAATGTAATTTCAATTCACACCAGCAGTTGAATGCAAATAAATGAACCACAGCAGCATTTCCAATTTGAATTTATTATCTCTAGAGTAAAAAGTTGACTTGAGTCACAAGTCTACAAAAATCCATGGTGGAAACACACTGCAGCATTTGGTCTGCAAGAAATGTGAACAGGCACTTGCACAGTCTTCTTGATGACTCATCATCTTTAAGACAATAGCGATACCTCCAGTGATTCAATAAAGTTTAAAAGAATAATTTAAAATTGCTGAGAACATTTACTTTAAAATATTAAACAAGTTTAGGTGAGTTCATCTTCATAATTTAGAAATGTTAACTCTAAATTTAAGATGTCTTTGCATGTGTTGAGTGTAAATCAGGAGTGGGTTGAACGAGAGGAATGTCAGCCAACCACTTCCATCCAAATCTGGATACAATAAACACAAAACAAATGTTTAACGGTCTTAGTGAATGCAAGTGATCACTCGTCTGCAGCTAAGAGGCATAAATAAGGTCAAAATAACTTTCATGTCCCCTGACTTTTCTTGCCCTGAGCCAAAGACGGATCTCTGTTCTGTTGACGTGTAATCTCTAGGAAGGAGTGAGGAGTTCATGGCTTTTTGAAACCATGAATATTTATAGATGGGAAGAACAGGTCAGGATGAAGGGCAGGAGGTGCAAACATGTGCTCTACTTGTGTGTTAAAGAGGAACGTTTGGCTAAATATCATCTCTCTCAGCTCTCACTCACCTGGATCAAACAGTGACACATCATCATTTTAACCACATGGCTCTGGTTAAATGTACTTTTGATTGGTCAAGACAGGCTATCATAATAATAATCTTGATAATGATGCACAGGCAAAAAGAGTGTCACAAAGAGATCTCTGGATTTTATCCACAGCAGGGCATGCAGAGGGACGGAACAGGTGCAGTAATGCATATATGAAAATGTCATGTATTTATTGGCCTACTGTAGACAAGAGAACAGTTATATATTATATTATATTTATCAGAGAGAGCGTCTACATGCAGGAAGGAGCCACAGGTCAGATCTGAACCCGGTGTCGTCCGCTCTGGAGGGCCCACACACTAATCGCTAGGCTACCAGCGCCCCAGTCCTTCCCTATAGATCTCTCATTCAATTCCTGGTAACAGATCAACTTGTGCTGTGATGTGTTCATTTTGAAATGCAGCAATGGTTATTCAGTTTCATGTCGCGCCAAGGCTTGAAGGACTCTACAGTACAGGTCAGACTTATATACAGTATATACAGACTTTGATGGGTTCTCTGAAGAATGGTGCATGAATGGTTAAAGTTTTGGGATCAGTGCTTTGGCTTCTTCTTTGGTTGACTGTCTTCTGTCTTCAGCTGCTGCAGGAAGAAAAAACAGAAGAGAAAAAGAAGTTAGTCTATAAGTCAGCTTGCATCGACATGTCATCTCTTTGGATGTCTTACTTGGATAAGGAAAACACAAAATACAAAATCTCAAATTGTCTACTTGCTCTGTGCCACTGGAACGAACTCTAGTATTTTGAAATGCTTCATATCACTATACTGAGACCTGGACCAATTTGATTGATGAAATAACTGAAATTGTTTGAAACTTCAGAACTTTTAAAATAAAGAACAAAGTCAAACATATTTGAGCCATTCAAGGCATGATATTAACGACACCTGCGATGTTTCAACTTCACAAAACATCACAGGCGTAATCGTGATTCCACCTCTGTGCCGGCTTCAGAGGTAATAAAAGAGGCACTACAGGGGCGAGACGGGATCTGTGGAGCCAGTGGGTGACAGCAGCACTGTGTGTGTGTGTGTGTGTGTGTGTGTGTGTGCATGTCTGATTGTCTGTGTATGTAAAGCTCCCTCAGCCTTTCGCAAATCTGGAACGCACAGACTTGAATACCAATATCACGCCGTCGTCGCATAAGGATGGCTGAGCTCTGTTACGGTGCTCTTGTGAAATTGCAATCTGAAACGGGCTATTGAAACATAGAATAAATGCAGAAACACAAACAAAATATTTAGAAATAATTTGAGACTTTAAAGTCTTTATATGCTATTTTTTGATCCAGTAGATGTCGCCCTTGAGCACCAGCATGAAACCAAAACAACTGGCGCTGCATTGTTGTGTTAGCATGCTAATGCTAGCGATCTTTATTATGCTCGTATCTCACACTGCATGTAAATTGACCTGAAACGAGCGTGATCTAGAAACACAGTTAAGCAGTGAGTACAGTATGTTATTCTTCTTTTCTCTAGTCCCTCAATTAAACAACTTTTATACATGAGGGGAGGAGTCAGCCGGCCGTCCCGGCGATGTAAACAAACTGAAGATAGGACTCAGAAAACATCACAGACAGTGGGACTCGGGTGTTACACCCATTGTAGACAGTCATGACTCACAGAGTTATTTTCAGAGGATATACTTGATTTCTATTACATAGATTGCCTGTGTGAAAAATCAAATTTTTCACACAGGCAAAAAGCCTTTAAGTGATGTTGATTCAAACAAGCGGTGTCATTCATCCTATTTAATCTACATTAGAAAGAAAGTCATGTCTTTCATTGTTTTTATTTTGATCAATTTAAAACCTCTCTTTGCTGATCTTGTCCTTTTCATGTGTAAGTTGTGTTTTCTAAAATCATCCTGATTTCAATCAAATATCAATTATTGGGAATAGTTGCAATGCAAACAAATGTAAACAGTGAGTGTTTCTGCAGCGTGCTGTAACACTTCTTGTGACACCGGCTAAAAGCACATG